CGTAGATGATGACTCCCGCGCTCCAGATGTCCACCTCGGGGCCGTACTTGGGCGGCTTGCGCCCCGCCCCCAGCGCCCCCGGCCTCCATCTCACCACCTCTGGCGCCATGTACATGGGGCTGCCGCAGTGGCGACTCAGCCCCTCGCCTGGGAAGGGGGAAGAAACGGGCACATGCAGAGAGGGTAGAAATAAGGGAAGGAGTAGGGTAGGAGATGAAGTCAAGAGAAGCAGGACAGGCAGAGAAGCCTAAGGGGAAGCTCGGGGAAGAGGGGAGGGCGAGAAGATGGAGAGAAGGGGGGGTTCGTGGAGGAGAGAAGGGGGGGTTCGTGGAGGAGAGAAGGGACGAGGTGCCAATACAAGCAACTGACCAGCGGGCACTGAGACTCACGTACCCTTGTAGAAGGCGGAGAGGCCAAAGTCGGTGGCCTTGAGCTCGGCATCGGGGTTGGAGGAGGAGAGGAGGAAGTTCTCAGGCTTGAGATCGCGATGCACCACGCCCAATGAGTGGCACGTCTCCACCACCCGCACTATCACCTTCGCCAACTCCGCTGCATCGTGCTCGCTGTGAGAGGAGGGGAAGGGGAGAAGAAGAGGAGAGAATTGTTGAGGCTTTGATTCGACGAAACAGCACCCACAACCAAAAGGCACGTCTCCACCACCCGCCCTATCACCCTCGCCAGCTCCGCTGCATCGTGCTCGCTGTGTTGAGTGGGGAAGGGGGGGGCGGGGGGGGGGGGGGAGGGGGGAGAGGGGAGAGAGGAGAGGGGAGGCGAGGCGAGGCGAGGCGAGGAGAGGAGAGGTGAGGTGAGAAGGAAAAGAGGTGCTCCAGGCAGCTTGCTCACGTGTGCAGTGTGACGAAATCAGTCTTCTGAAAGAGGGCGAAAACACAATGTAACGAGAATCGTGTGTAGGGCTGTTCGCCCTGGCAGAGCTCCATAGGCTGTTATGAGGGATTATATAGCGGGGCTCACGTGTAGGGCACGCCCATGGCTTCGATGCGGTCGATAATGGTGTCGTAGAGCTCGCCGCCCGTGCAGAGCTCCATCACGATGTGCACGAAGTCGCGATCCTCGTATGCCCCGCGGATGTTCACTATGTTGGGCGAGTCCTGAGAGACGCGGATCAACGAGACGAAGAGGATGCATAGCACGAAGGGCGCGACGGGAATGAGGGGTGAGGGACAGAACAGTTCGTCCGTTCGACGCAATCCAAATCTTTTCGTTACGCAATACGGATAATAAAACCGAAACGTTTACTCCCGATTGAGAAGCGCAATAAGAAGCGCGCGCGCCGGTCGTGAGAGACTACTTTCGAGAAGACGGGTCAACAGGCCCGTCAACGACGACCCTGGACAGAACCACGCACCTGGAAAAAAACGCACCTGGAAAGAAACGCACCTGGAATGAAACGCACCTGGAAAGAAACGCACCTGGAAAGAAACGCACCTGGAAAGAAACGCACCTGGAATGAAACGCACCTGGAAAGAAACGCACCTGGAAAGAAACGCACCTGGAATGAAACGCACCTGGAATGAAACGCACCTGGAAAGAAAACGCAGATTCGTGACAATTCCGCAGCCACACAAATATCTTACCTGCACGTGGTAGAGAATGGCGACCTCTCGACGCACGTCCTCGACATCATCCTCCGTGAGCAGCTTGGACTTGGGAATGGTCTTGCACGCCCAGTGCACGCCCGTCTCGCGCTCCGTGCACACGTACGTCGTCCCGAACTGTCCCGCGCCCAGCTGCTGCCCGATGTCGAAAATGTCGTGAATGTTCTCTGATCGACAGGCAGGAGAGAGGTTTCGGGAAAGGATGCGGAAATAGGGTTTGATCAAGTCGGGAGTGGTGATTGGGGATGTAGGAAATGGTTGAGGGAAATGTTGTGTATGCTTTCTGAAAAAATGGGAAAAAAATGTCAGCCGGATGTATAAAAAGGGTTTGCATGTCACAGATAAGGTGAAAGGGGATGTGAAAAAATGCTAGATGCAAATGCAGTGGGAGCTTCCTGATAGATGTATATGGACATTGTTGGGAAATGCGGTGATATGGTTTGCTCGAGACAGGAAAACATTGCGAATGCATTGTGTTTTATGGGCATGAAGTGTTTGGGTTGGGGGGTCATGTCTTGAATGTCGCTTGTCTCTTTCGACAAGAGATGTAGTAGATAAGTATTGCAGTGGTTGAAGAAGGAATGGTCAACGAAAGGCCTTCAATGCCAATTAAAAGTGGCCGTCGGAAATGCTGCGAACCTTCGCTGCTCACAACGGAATGGCTCGAGGACCAAGATGGTTAATGCGAATGTCTTTCGCGGAACAAAAAATGCCGTAATCAGGTAAACGAGCCGACATCACAGACGTCGCATGACTGACGTTTCGTGTAAAGGGGTCGGGAGTGGAGTTCGGCTATTCAGAAGCGGGAGGTAATGGACGCACCATTATGGCCTGGCCCGAGCACGCTTTTTGTTGATGGTCGAGATGACTTCCCCTGCACCGGGAAGCAAGAAAGAAACAAGGCAGAGAATCGAACGGTCATTTCACGCAATGAGGAAACCATGGATGCTGTGAAGCACATTGTGCAGAATGCCAGAACACACCCGGCAGAAGTTTGATGGTACGAGGACTGAGGCAAAAGATTAGGTTTTGAAGTGGTGACGACCGACAACGCAATTTCCGGAGCGAAATAAGGAGCAAATCAAAGACGCACGTCTATTTGCTAGTAAATGCACACGCTAAGTGCTGGCAATGGAGCAATGTCCTACATTATGTTGCCAGGCATGACTTACCGACGACATCTTGGAAGGATCGTCTGATTGCTCAGTCACAGCAGCAATCCGTTCAGGCCAGAAAGTGCAATAAAGTTACCTATTGCCTCATACCAGTGACAATATAAAGCTTGTAGCGCCTGTAGGAATTTAGACAGTAGCTACAACTAGAAAAGAATGTCAATGGAGGTAAGGGCAGGAGATATTAGGGAAGCCAAGTGGAGTTATGACAAGTGAGGGACACAAGTGAACTAGCGTGTGATGTGAAGAGGGGGACTGGCATGAAATAACGTGCTTGCTGGACCTCAACCTCCACCACGCTGTACTGTATTATACCGTACTGTAACGTAACCAATCGCTATCAAACGCCAAATTTCGAGCCCAACAAGCAACTCCCAATGTCAGCGGAAAACGACGAGGGGGCGCATGAGTTGGTGGTGGGGCGATGGCGGAATTTCGGTAGAGGGAGAGGAGAAGGGGAGGGTGAGAGTTGCACGGAAGGGGGGGAATTGGCGCGCCAACTCACGTGATTTTGAAACCTGAGGTGGGAAACGTGGTGGCGGGGGCTTGGAGTTAGGAGTGGGGGAGACGAAGCGGAACACACGCGCAATAGCCAGGAACGCGGAGATGGTCTTGTGGGGGAAGGCAAGCATTTCAAGTCCTAGAAAGGACCAAACCGACACTGCTTACGTGGTGAGACCGACGTGGCAGCGCAGATTTTGGATGATGCAGATTGAAGGCTTTTTGTTGATCTCGTAATCCTTGACTAGGGCAGGCTAGAAACATTTGAAATTGATCGTTGTTTCGGGGTCACATCAAGGAACTGTGAACATTTTTTCCTTTGGAAGCGGTTGCTCGTCAATAAACTTCACAAATTTCCAAATACTTCCGTCTGCGCAACCTACGAAATACCCTTCAAAGTTCCAGATAAGTCCACCCCCCGACCAGATATTGTGATACCAAGGGCACCCCGTGCTGATGCTGCTTTATATTACACCGGATTTGCGATATTATCCTAACGTGGAGTTCAGAGACCTTGGTTGCCATCCTACGCATTTTTTTGAATAAGGTAGTCGGAATTGCTGGGCTGCATATTGTCAACACACGCATAAAATTATGCAGCACAAACCCAATCGGAACATCTAACCATGCTAGGCAAGACCGAGCTCAGAGGCTAGTACCGTATTTGCCAAACGAGCACAAATTGAACCAATAGGTGACTAAACTAAGGTACCCTTCTGCTTCTCGTAAACCTTAGGTGCTACTGTATTCGATTTGATTTGGCCTTATGTAAAGTCCTCTTGTCATGGAAAAAAAAAGTCTGTCAAGTGCAACCCTCAATCGGATAAATAATGAGGGTGGGGGTACATGATAAGACGTACCTGTTGCCACATTCAATCCCAAAGTCTACCCACAGAAATACAGCATTGGCAATGACAAGCTTGTAGTTGTTAGCTGGAACAAGGAAATTCATTCCAGGCGAATCTAGTGTAACATCCTAGGAAATAAACACCTGTCCCAACTCGAGTGTGTATGGGCGCACTCCCCCATACCCTTTCCTACACCAGGCATCCAGCAATTGCCAGGTGTGAACACCACAAAGAGCTCACAAACCAGCACTCTTGTTTCTAACAATTGATAACCTAACACGTGATACAAGCTGGGTGGCACCCTTGCACTTGCTTATCCCATCTTCACATCCCTATGAGGGGCTGAGAGGGGGTGATGATGGTGACATGGCACATGCTGAGGTGGATCGCGGAGGCGTGGAAGGTGGTGACGGGGCAATGGGAGTGGGCTGCTGGCGCAACGGGCAGGTGTGGGGAATCTGCTGTGAAGGTGCTGAACGGGTGCTCTGACGGAGCAGGGAGGCTGATAGGCAGGTGCTGAGAAGGTGATGGTGCGGTGGTGAGGTTGACTTGCATCGTGCTGCTGTGACAGGAGGATGGATGGCACCAGTGCGCATCGACTTGCTGCCTTGGAAAAAACGCAGCTGGTGGAGTGAAGCACGTTGTATTGATCCGTCAAGGTACGGCGTGATGGTACAGGGACAGGCTCGACATTCCATGGGGAAGGACAGTGGTGAGCAGTGAAACTACACCACCACGCAACCGTCCATCTGGAGAAAACTTGCTGCTCAGAAGCCCGGAGTAGCAGCACTTTGACATGCGAGAATGCAAGGGGCGTGATAGCTCACACCGATCAGTTGGGAGCAGGGGGCCAGTGCCATCCCTCATGCTGTGGGTCGTGTCATTAGGGAGGCGCCCCGGCCGCCGCTCATTGTGCCTGCTGGTGACACTGGCTCTGATGGGGAAATGGGGGTCGAAGGAGTAGAGGAACAGTGGGAGGTGTTAGGGATGGCGAGAATGGGAACCAGGAGAGTAAGTGGAGGTTATGAGAGAAAGATCCAGGTCAGCTGAATGCCTACTGTCCCACATTTCCTTTTCACCCACACACTCTCCACATCTATACCAAAACCCCCTCACTGTGGATAACCACCCACCACCCACCTGTGCTGCACACACTCTCTACTCCAACCCCAACTTCTCACCTTCTGAGGATTCTCACAAGCAACCCCCCTCACATGCAACATGCCCTCTTGTGACACAAGACCATTTCAGGCACCTCGTATCAGAACCCTAGGCTTAGGTAACAGACCTTCAAAACCCCTGCGAAGAAGAAGAAGACGAAGAAAAAAACAAACAAACAAACAAACAAAAAACCACAACGCCTCTTGCCACTGCCTCCTCACCTGCGTCGCTCGCGTCACTCTCGCTGCCTGCAGAGTCCACATCGGACCCAACGGCCCCGGCCACGCCAATGCACGTGAAGACGCTGCTGTCGTCCAGCGGAATGTGGTTGTACACCGTGTACACATCGTCCACCTCAATAACCCCACAGAACCCAACCCCTTGCCCATCCTGCTGTCACATCATCTCATACATGCACAGCACAGCACGGAAGGTCCACAAAACCGAAACCTCCCACCAGGCTCCTGCCCCTCCTTACCTGCGTCGCTCGCATCGCTCTCGCTCCCAGCTGAATCCGCATCCGACCCGACGGCCCCGGCCACACCGATGCACGTGAAGACACTGTTATCATCAAGAGGAATGTGGTTGTACACCGTGTACACATCGTCCACCCACCACAATGCCCCCATACATCCCATCTTACACACATCATCTCATACACACACAGCACCACAGATCCTCACAGGAGAAACCTCCAACCTTCAACACCTCCAGGCTCCAGCCCTCCTCACCTGCGTCACTCGCATCGCTTTCACTCCCCGCCGAGTCCACGTCGGACCCAACAGCGCCGGCCACGCCGATGCACGTGAAGACACTGCTATCATCGAGCGGGATGTGGTTGTACACCGTGTAGACGTCGTCCACTGTGGTGATCTCATAGATGCACGGCAGGTCCGCGATGCACGAGACCGTCTTGCGCGGCACGTAGTCGCACTGCAGGTGAGTCAGCATGCCCAGCCAGTACGCGTTATCTTTCAGGTCAGATTCATGCCGCATAATGAGCGTACGCTTGGCCTGCACAGAGGACAATGTGGGGACGAGGTGGGGAAAAAGAAGGAAGAAGAGAGGAGGACGTTGAGTCTAGCGGCGGTGGTGATCTCATAGATGCTCCGTAGCCCGCATCAGCGCCGATACCCACCCATGACAAATTCAAGTGCCTGCCAATGCCAACACACCCAGTCCACCTTGCTCTGCCTTGACCATGAATGCTCCACAGACATCCGCACCCATCAACCCGTGTTTTTTGAGAATTCTCAAAAAACACCCATCAACCAGGAATAAGCCCGCCTCTCAATGCCCGCCTTCCAATGACACCCCACACACACACACACACCCCACACACACACACACACCCCACACACACACACCCCACACACACACACACACCCCACACACACACACACACCCCACACACACACACACCCCACACACACACACACACCCCACACACACACACACACCCCACACACACACACCCCCCACACACACACACACCCCACACACACACACACACCCCACACACACACACACACCCCACACACACACACACACCCCACACACACACACACACCCCACACACACACACACACCCCACACACACACACACACCCCACACACACACACACACCCCACACACACACACACCCCACACACACACACACATCCCACACACACACACACACCCCCCCCACACACACACACACACCCCACACACACACACACACCCCACACACACACACACACACACACACCCACACACTAGCCCCGCCCAACGCACCCGGTCCAGCTCCCTCTGTGTGATGCGGTTGGCCTGCAGCCCCCTGAGAACGTTCAGGGACGCTTCCACGGCCTGCTGGATCTTGGCGGGTGTGGAGGTGACGCTGATGCAGAACCACCCGGTGGCCAGGCGGTCAAAGAGAGAGATCTCGAAGTTGACGTCGTATGTCAGCCCCAGGGCGTCCCTCACTGTTGTGAACAGGCTGTTGGAGTGGATGCCGGGAAAAGGGGGGAAGGAAGGGGCACGTGGGGAAAGGAGAGAGGGCAAAAATGAGATGGAGAGGAGAGGAACCGGAGATCAAGGGAAGAGGGGATCTTGGCGGGTGTGGAGGTGACACTGATGCAGAACCACCCGGTGGCCAGGCGGTCAAACAGCGATATCTCGAAGTTGACGTCGTATGTCAGCCCTAATGCGTCTCTAACTGTCGTGAAGAGGCTGTTGGGCGCACGGCAGGGGGGTGGACGGGGTGTAAGGAGAAAAGTAGGGAAAAGGGGAGGAGGGAGGGGACACGTGGGAAAGGAGAGGGGTCGATGAGCAGGCGAGAGAGGAGAGGAACTGGGGATCAAGGGAGAGTGGGAGTGAAGAGGCTGCATGAAGAGTGAGGGGAGAGAGAGGTGGGGGGCAGCAGAGGACAAGGAACCAGAGACAGTTGAAGAATGCAAGGCGTCTATGCTGTATCTGTGTTCAAACCCCCACACAACCACCCATGCATTGACAACCCCCCCCCACCCACCACGCATTAATAACCCACCACAAGCCCACAATCCCTTCCCCCTCAACGCACCGTGCGTCAACGATCTCCTGCAGCAGCACACCAACAGACGTGTACACACCAACAGCACACCAACGCGCTGTGCACACCAACAGACGTGTACAGCGCGTGGCGGCGCCGGTGCCAGTACTTGCATTGACAGCCACACCCCCACCCCACACCCACACAACCATGCCTCCCCTTTACCCCACGCACCGTGCATTGACGATTTCTTGCAGCAGCAGCACGCCCACAGACGTGTACAGCGGGTGCCTATGATAAAGTGTCAGTGCTACACCCCCACCCCGCACCCACACAACCCTTTCCCCCACCCACCGTGCATTGACGATCTCCTGCAGCAGCAGCACGCCCACAGACGTGTACAGAGGGTGCCGGCGCCGGTGCCAGTACTTGCGCCCGTCCGCCCCCTCCACCACTGCTGTTCCCAACGGCGCCACTGCCACCGCTTGTGCGTCTGCACACAAGGGAACACGCACACAGGTACGAGCACAGAGGCACAAGGCGAGTTCAAGGGGTGACTTCTTGTGTCGAGTTGACAGGTACTTGCGCCCGTCTGCCGCCTCCATCCACCACTGCTTTTCCTAGTGGCGCCACTGCACACGGGGAAAAAGGCCACGACCACACAGACACAACACAGGCACGGAGGCACAGGTAGTTTTATATCGATTCAGAGTCACAGCCGCGCCACTGGCACTGCCCGTGCGTATGCGCCTGCGGAAAGATAAACAGCGATGGGCGGGGTTCAAACACGGATTAAGGCCGAGGCACAGGGTGGGGAGAAAGGAAAGTGAAATCACGGTTGAAGAGAGGGGAGAAGCGAGAAGGCAAGGCAAAGCAAGGCAAGGGAAGTCAAACTGGCAGAGAAACTGGGAGCTGGAGACGGGATAAAGGGACTGAGATGCAGAAGCAGACAGAAGACGGCAATTTTGGGCGGGTTTAAAAGAGCTGAGACATCTCAGAAACTGACACAGAAGCACAGAGATATAGGCTGGTTTCTGGGTGAGACAAGTGGTGCTGCAGGGATTGCAGAGGGAGCAGAAAAGGCGAAGAGAGGAAGGAGAAGGGCAGATTCCGGAGTGAGGATGAAGACAGGGAGGAGTGAGGTTGGGGAGAGGAAGGAGCGAGGAGAGGGAGGAGCGGGGATGGGGCGAGGGAGGAGCGGGGATGGGGAGAGGGAGGAGCGAGGGAGCCGTGAGACTGGACTTACCAGGGTCTCCTATAAGGCTGCCCTCGCCCCTCCCACCTCCTCCCGCTGCTCCCGGTGCTCTTCCATTTGGGCTCTGGGTGTTGCCTCGCCCCATGGTGAAAAGGTGCCTCATCGCTCTCGCCAGCAGCGGGCCTTCATCTGCCATTGCTGCTGCTCGCGATGCTGGTGATGGTGATGGTGGTGGTGGTGGTGGTGGTAATGGTGGTGGTGGTGGTGATGGTGATGGTGGTGATGTTAATGGTGATGGCAGACTAGGCGATAGCATGCACTTATTGGGTGTACACTGATACATGCAAAAACTATTGCATGATTGCATCTACTAACTTCATGCACTATTACCTTGTGCGAGCACACACACGCGTGCAACCACAAGACCGCGGCTTATGGCTTTGAAATTTAGCGGGTCCGGGTTCAGGGTTTTGAAGGCCACATATTCAGGTGCAGAGCCGATGGAGCAATCTTGCATGGCTGTGCGCGCCGTACCTGCATCCAAACCTGTGGCGCGCACTGTACCTGTGCAGCCAGGGGGGATATTCCCAAGCTTAGTTGAGAAAGACGCACGGCGGACGCTGCGTCCTGCGTCTGGACGCATGGACGCAGGACGCGCGTCCAGACGCAGGACGCACGGCGATTTTTTTTCCGGGCTGACCGAAAAAAAACAAATCGATTTCGCGATTCGCGATTTCGACGCCAATGTTAGATCCACGAAATCGTAACTCCATGGGAGCGATGTCGCCAAGCAAAATCGCAAACAAATGGGAGCGATTTTGCTAAGTTTGCACCGCAAAATCGCTAACAAACCATTTTCCCCCCAACCACCACACATTACCGCACTGCAACTCCCCCCCCCCCAACCTTGTCGACCTGAACGCAATGTAAGAGGAGAATTAGGTCGACATTTAGAGCTTTCTCTCCTAGTCGACCTGATTCTCTTTCGAAAACCCTAAATCTCGATTTAACTATGTGTGTGGGAATTTGGTGTTTAGGGAAGGTTTGAAGGATAATCCATGTTCAATGTGGTTGCAATGTCCCGAAACCCCCTCTCCCCCCCTCCTAGACGGCTTTTTCGCCTGCCCGGGGGTTTTTTTTGCCCTGCCCGGGCATGCGTCTTTCCATGCGTCTCCCTGGCCCTGGTGCTGCGTCCTGCGTCTGGACGCATGCGTCTAAGACGCAGGACGCGTCTTTCCCAACTAAGTTCCCAAGCACACACCCAATCAATCAGGCAGCTCCCTGCACACAGCTGTGGTGCATGCCGTACCTGTGTAGCCGGGAGGAATGGGCTCCAGGATCGTGTTGATATCCCGCCCATCCGGTGCGAATCCCCACCGGTTCGGCGCCGGACCTGCGATGTAGGCTCGGGCCCTCTCGTCCGTGTCTCGCAAGAGAACCTGGAGGAGCGAGCGTGGAGAGGAGGTGGGGGTGGAGCAGGAGGAACCGGGGTGGGGGGAAGGTGTGAGAAGGGGCCGGGAGGTGGAACCAGCCAGACCAAGGACTCATGGATGAAGAGGGTACCCTAAACCCCAAACCCGAAACCCGCGTGAATTTGGGATGTTTTGGGCTGTCTTGAAACAGATTGAACTTCCTGCGAGCGGGGGCCGGGAGGTGTAACCAGCCAGACCAAGTACTCATGGATGAAGAGGGTACCCTAAACCCTAAACCCGAAACCCACGTGAAGTTGGGTTGTTTTGAGACGTCTCAAACAAATTGAACTTCATGCGAGCAGGGGCCGGGAGGTGGAACCAGGCAGTCAATGGACTGATGGATGAGGATGGCGCCCTACTAAACCTGAAACCCGCAGTCGGTCCTTCAAACACACCTTCGTTCAACCTTCTCATGCCCACAGGCCCTCGCCCTCACCTTTATGGTGGCGCAGAGCGGGCGGGCAGGAAGTGACCATCTTGAAAGGGGGCTCGCCAGGGAGGGCGAGCACAGGGGGCGGGTGCAGCGGAGGCAGCACGGTGGTGCAGCGGGGGCAGCACGGTGGTGGAGGGGGGCAGCACGGAGCATACCTCTTGTGCCCTACCTACCCATGCCATCGTGTTCCAAACAACTCACCTTCTGGTGGCGCAGGGCAGGCGGGCAGGACGTGACCATCTTGAAGGGTGGCTCGCCAGGGAGGGCGAGCACAGGGGGCGGGTGCAGCGGAGGCAGCACAGTGGTGGAGGGGGGCGGGGGCGTGGAGGCGGGGTTGGGGGGGAGCGCGGCGAAGGGCGAGACGACGTGGGCAGGGGGAGGGAGCGCGGTGACGGTGCCGAGGTACTTGAGAATGTGGTCCGTCATCTCCTCCTCGCTGAAATCGCCCACTATGCTCAACTGAAAAGTGGTAGGCAAAAGGGAGGGGGGGAAGGAGAGGGGAGGAGAGGAGAGCAGGGTAAAGCGCAAGGGTGGGTACGTGAGGATGTGGTTTTTCATTTCCTTGCTGAAATCACCCGCTATGCTCAACTGCGGGGGAAGGAGGGGAGGGAAGGGGAGAGGAAGGGGACGGAAAGGGGACGGGACACTTGATTGCTGTTCCCGGGAAAAAAAAAAAAAAAATAGAACAAGCGAAAAAAACGGCAAGCGATGGAAACGTTATGCGATAAACGCAATTCAATGCTCCCCGTCAATCGTAAGAGCACATGTGCGCACGCACCTCTATATTCCCCGACAGCAGTTGCTGCATGACAGCATGGCGCACGGTGTCAAGCGTGAGGTTGGACACAATGGCGGGATGAGGGTCCAGCAGGCGTGTGTCCCCATCGAACATGGCGCCCATCAGCTTGCTCGCTGTCAGCCGCTCCAGACTCTTGGGGAGAGACCTGCAAACAAAGGGTGGTGGAAGGGGCGGAAGGCCGGGAACGTAATATGATTAGCGATCAGAAGTCAGCAGAGGGGTACGCTCGTCGACAGGGTGCCCAACTGAGTGCGACTTTTGAGAAATCTCAAAAGTCGCACTCAAGCAGGGTGTCCATCTGAGTGCGACTTTTGAGAAATCTCAAAAGTCGCACTCAAGCAGGGTGTCCATCTGCGTGCGACTTTTGAGAAATCTCAAAAGTCGCACTCAAGCAGGGTGTCCATCTGCGTGCGACTTTTGAGAAATCTCAAAAGTCGCACTCAAGCAGGGTGTCCATCTGCCAACGGACGTGGGCACGGGAAGATCAGTTTCTAAGGCGCCTAGCAACAGCCTGTCAGAGCCGGAACAGAAAAGCCCTTCAACAAAAACGGTTTCCGTCCTCAGCCCTTCCACCCGCATCTTCCAGCAACAAAAACCTTGCTGGAAGGGCATACAAGCGAGCATCGGGACGTCTCCAAAAGAGACCTCAACTCATGCAGCACAGATCAAGTTTCTTAATGACTCCCCTAATTGATGCAGCAGTACGGGACACCACGCACCTGTAGAAGGAAAGGTATGCCTGCTTGGCCCTCTCCAGTGCATCCTCGTCCCATGCCGGATGCTGCACGAGGACATGGGGAGTGGCGGAATGCACGAGGATGCAAGATGGTCGGGACCAGGCACGGACACAGCACGACCACGCGAGTGCAAGCATGAGGTCCAAGAGAAGGAAAGAGTGCAAGAACAAGTACGAATTTTGAGCAAATTCAAACAAAAGAGTGTGAGAACAATAACGGACAAACCAGCAGCATGTACCACCGCCGTTTCACCCCACAGCCACTCCACCTGCAGCAGCATGTGCCGGAGCTGGAAGGACGCCTTGAGGCTGCCAAACTTCGTACGACCATCAACCCCACCACCCCCATCCCCATCAACCCATCCTACCAGCAGCGCATGGTCCCCACTGCTATTGACCCATGGACCCACCTGCAGCAGCATGTGCAGCAGCTGGAAGGAGGCCTTGAGGCCGCCGTAGCGCATGGCGAAGTGCAGATCCAGCGCGACGCACTCCTCGTCGGCCTCCAGCATGCAGTTCACCAGATTCGCCAGGCAGAACAGCTCCACCTGCGAGGAGAGGGGGGAGGGACGGGTGGGGAGGAGGGTGGGGGATGTGTGCATGGGGCCCAAGGGGTGGGAAGGAAGGTGTGAGGAGAGGAGCACAATAGAGGAGCGCAATCTGGTCCGGTCCGAAGTTGGTGCCTCGCTGCTCTATGAGGCTCGCATGAATGACAGCGTTTGAGAGGCAGGCAGGCAGGCAGGCAGGCACGGCCTGGGCTGCTCCCTGCTCCCTGCTCCCTGCTCCCTGCTCCCTGCTCCCTGCTCCCTGCTCCCTGCTCCCTGCTCCCTGCTCCCTGCCAATCCCCTCTCTCTCACCTGCTCGCGGCTGTACTCCCCCACACGCCCCGCCTCGCTCAGCGTGCGCACGCCCACCGCCACCTCGCCTGCGCCCTGTGGGTCCTCCTTCGCCCGCCTTTGCTACCTGCTACCGTCACCAACCTCTCCCCCCCTCTCTCTCACCTGCTCGCGGCTGTACTCCCCCACACGCCCCGCCTCGCTCAGCGTGCGCACGCCCACCGCCACCTCGCCCGCCCCTTGTGGGTCCTCCTTCGCCCGCCCCCCCGGGAACACCAGCCGCAGCACCCCGCCCTTCGCCTCGTTGTCCGTCACCTGCTCGGAGTGCGGTGAGGTGGGGTTGGGTGGGGTGAAGTCGGGTGGAGTGGGGTGAGTTGATGTCGGGTGGTGTGGGGTGCAGAGGTAGGGAACGAGCAGCGTGTATCAATAGGCGGGGGTACAGGGAGTGCGGTGCGGGAAGGGGGCGCCAGCACGCCACTCCTCGCCTCGTTTCCCTTGTGCTACATTTCAAGAAGCACCATCTTCAGTTGCGAAAGGGTGGAGGAAAGGCAAAAGGAGGGAGTGTTGGCATTGTCAAGAAGTGCGTGGCATTATCATGTGCATTAAGTGCGTGGCATTATCATGTGCATTAAGTGCGTGGCATTATCATGTGCATTAAGTGCGTGGCATTATCATGTGCATTAAGTGCGTGGCATTATCATGTGCATTAAGTGCGTGGCATTATCATGTGCATTAAGTGCGTGGCATTAACATGAGCATTAAGTGCGTGGCATTAACATGTGCATTAAGTGCGTGGCATTAACATGTGCATTAAGTGCGTGGCATTCACATGTGCATTAAGTGCGTGGCATTAACATGTGCATTAAGTGCGTGGCATTGACCTACTTGACCGTCCCATGGTCACACTGCAACCCCACGCAGCCATCGTTCCTCACCACTCCTCAATCCATGTTCACCGCACTCCACCGCTCCCCACCTTCATGTTGACGCGGATCCCGTTGCTCAGCCGGCGCTGGATGATGCCCGTCTCCTTGTTGTACTGCCGCACGCACCCGTTGCTTCCTACCCTCATGTCCACCACACCCCACCGCTCCCCACTCCCTCACACGTCTACCACACCCCACCACTCCTCATTCCGTCATCTTCACCACACTCCACCGCTCCCCACCTTCATGTTGACGCGAATGCCGTTGCTGAGCCGGCGCTGGATGATGCCCGTCTCCTTGTTGTACTGCCGCACGCGCCACTCAGACGGCGCCACGTCAGCAGCGTTGCCCTCGGTGGGCGGAAACGGAACGAACCGTGGCCGGATCTTCTGCTGCAACTCCGCCAGCTCAGCATCGGAGATGAGCGTGCGGGGGACCTCCACCTGGGATGATGGGAGCAAGGACAAAGAACGAAACGAAGAATCCAAATGTTTAGAAAATGAAGCTCCACCAGCCCCATGGGAGCAAGAGCAGGTAAGAGAGGGTTTAAGAGAGAGGGCGCTTGCATCCACGTAAGCAGCTCAGCTCAGCATCATTCCCGTTGCAACACGTGGGCGCTTCTTCACCTTTCTGGATTGACACTCACATCCCCTGCACTCACATCCCCTGCACTCACATCCCCTGCACTCACATCCCCTGCACTCACATCCCCTGCACTCACATCCCCTGCACTCACATCCCCTGCACTCACATCCCCTGCACTCACATCCCCTGCACTCACATCCCCTGCACTCACATCCCCTGCACTCACATCCCCTGCACTCACATCCCCTGCACTCACATCCCCTGCACTCACATCCCCTGCACTCACACCGCCTCCTGCTCAAGCCTTGCAGCTGACATACCTACCAGGCAGGCTACCACTCACACACATCTTGTACGACCTGCAGCCTGCCTCGACCACCCTCCACCACTGCCCTGTACCCCGCAACCCTTAACTTACAACCGCCCAACACCGGTCACCACCGCGCTGCACCGCTCACCTCGTCCTCGGGCTGCACGTCTTCCCTGAGCCCCGCAAGCAGCGCATCCCTCACCGCCTCAGGGGTCACCTCAAACACCACATCACTCGCCGCCCCCGCCCCCGCAGCTGCAGCTGCAGAGGAAGAGCTCTGCACCATCGCCCCATTCCCGCTCCCACTCCCGCTCCCGCTCGTCCCTTCCCCTGCCTCCTTCTCGCCCTCTCTCCCCCCCTCGCCCCCCTGCACGTGCATCCTCGTCGGCACGCACACCACAATCGCAGCCGGCCTTGGCGCCTCCTTCTTCCCATACTCCGCCACAAACTCCAGCACCTCCGCCGCAGCCGCATTCACATCCTCCAGCTCGATCGTCGGCGCGATGGCGGACAGGCACTCAAAGCTCTGCTCGGGGTCCAGCACCGCATGGCCCAGCGCAAAGCTCTCCATCAGAAAATCCAGAGAGTCGATGGAGTGGATCGCGTCCGTCATGGCGGCGTTGTGCTCACTGTCGCGCAGCATGGTGGTGACGTAGCGGGCGAGCTCGCCGCGCGTGAGGCCGAACTGCTGCAGGCGCCGCACCTCCTGCAGGGCCACGGTGAGCGCGGACTGCCAGTCAGTCGGCTCCGCTGTGACTGTGAGCGTGGTCACCGTGCACCCCTCCCTGGCGCTGTCGCTGTGATCCAGGTCCACTCCTAGGAAGGGCACTGTGCCGTTCTGAAAGCCACCAGGGGAGGATTCATGGGTAAAGGAGAGAGGGAGAAAGGGAGACGCACGGGAATGCAGGGTGAGATGGAGGGTGAGTGGGGCGATTGTGACCAGCAGGCGATTGCCAGCGTGACTGTGAGCGCGGACTGCCAGTCAGTCGGCTCCGCTGTGACTGTGAGCGTGTGACGGTGCACCCATCCCTGGCGCTGTCGCTGTGATCCAGGTCCACCCCTAGGAAGGGCACTGTGCCATTCTGAAAGCCACCAGGGGAGAGTCATAATTAGAGAGAAGGAGAGGAGCCACGGGCATGCAGAGAGAGATGGAGAGAGTGAGCGTGATGACGGTGCAACCCACTCGCTTAATTACCGCTTGACGGTGCAAAGCCAACCAGGCAGAGGAAGCAGGGAGAGAGAATGGTAAGATGGAGCAAAAACGTTTCCAGTCGATCCAAAAGGCCTGCTCACTTTGTACCAGTCGCAGCTGCCTCACCTTGTAGCGCGGGTGTTGATTCCAAACTGCAGGGCTGAGCACGATGCGCTGCACATTGTTGAGTCAACTAAAAAATTGCCCACCTTGTTGTACCAGCCGGTCATGGCTCACCCTGTGGCCCTTGCTACCAGCTCACGCTCACCTTGTAGCGGTTGTTGATGCGGAACTGCAGCGCGTTGAGCACGATGCGCTGCATCACAGCACGCCGCAGGTCGCCCAGCGTCTGCACCTGCTTCACTGGGTTCTGATGGGGGCGCGGACGGGGGGGTGTGCAGGGAGTCGAGCAGGGAAGGTGTGGTCTTGAATCAAACGTCGGGGCGACGTGGCCATTCAAGGACGGGCAGAACCACGATCCAACAGCGCACCTTACAGAACATGGTGATCAAGAGAGGTTTTGCAGCAGCCCGTGTTGAAACCTCGCTTACGAGCACAACCACCCCCACGTGAGATGAGACGACGATTTCCGAGTCGACTCAAGAATCGTCTGAACTCGCTCACGAGCATAACCAACCTCCTCCTCCCCGCCGCTGCCACTGCCTACTGTGCTGCTAGTTCGTTTTTACTAGTTCTAAAACACCAACTATTCCCAGTGCCCGCACTGCACCACGCGCACCTTACAGAACATGGTGAGGGAGAAGTTCTGCAGCAGCTCGTGTTGAAAGATAACTGGCATCACCACGCCCTCCCTTGCTGCTGCCTGCTGCTGCACCGCTGCTGCTGACGGCACCACCGCCGGGGGCAAAAACCCCTCTCCCCCCGGCCTTCCCACTACGTCCGCGCCTTCCCCCGCACTCCCCCCCGCGCTCTCCCCCTCCAGGTGTTCTCTCGCCCACGTGTGGCGCACAGGCGGGCGCACAGCATGCCTCTCCTTGCGCACAGGACCGGGGATGGTCGCGGGGGAGGCGGAGGGGGAGGGGGACTCGGCGGAGTGGGGGTGCAGGGCGGCGAGCGCGGAGCTGGGGGGGACGGCGGGCATGGTGGGGGAAGTGGCGGGGTGCATGGGGGGAGTGAGGCTGGGGGCGGAGGAGGCGGAGACGGGGGTGAGGGAGGGCGCGGAGGAGTGGTGGTGTGAGATGGAAGGGGGGAGAGCGGGGGAGTGGACGGAGGGGGAGTGGGCGGGGATGGTGGGTGTGGGGCTGGGGGGAGGCGGCATGTGCATGCCTGGGGGCGTGCGACCAAAGTGCTCCTGAAAGGGTGGGGCGGAAACGCAGGGAACAGCAGAGAGAAGGCCAAAGTAGCGAGATGGTGGGAAAAGAGAACTGGGGATCTACAAGCGGTCGTGCAAGGCAGTGAGTCATGGCCACTCACGCAGTGGTTCACCTTGAATAACTGCCAGCCCGCATCAGCAAGAACCGAGCAGTTCTCTCACTCAATAAGTCGGATGATGCCCGACACAGACGCCAGGTCCCCCACGACATAAGAGCATGGCGTCGGCAGGGAAGCACCAGCGGTCGTGGAAGGGCTGTGAGTCGCAATCACCCGCCTAGTGATTTACCTCAATCCCAGGCAGTCCAGCTCAAAGCGCAACCATTCTCTCACCTCAATAAGTCGGATGATGCCCATTTTGTTTGAGGTTGATTTTGAGAATTCTCAAAATCAACCTCAGACAGACGCCAGGTCCCCCACGACATAGAGTGTGGCGTTGACAGGGAAGCACCAGCGGTCGTGGAAGGCACGGATCTGATCCACCTGTGAGCTACCTCACAGCCACTCGGCTCACCTCAATGAGCCGAATAATATCCGAGACCGATGCCAGGTCCCCCACGACATAGAGCGTGGCGTTGGCCGGGAAGTACCAGCGGTCGTGGAAGGCGCGGATCTGATCCACCTGTGAGCTACCTCAAGGCCAGGGAGCTCACCTCAGGGCAGGCAGAGCACCATCGTTCGCTCACCTCAATGAGTCGAATAATATCGGACACAGACGCGAGGTCCCCCACGACATAGAGCGTGGCGTTGGCCGGGAAGTACCAGCGGTCGTGGAAGGCTCGGATCTGATCCACTGGCCACTTCTTCACCTGCTCCTCCTGGCCAATCGGGAAGCGACAGCTAAGCAGGTTCTCCGAGTGCATGTGGTGCAGCAGCTGCCACAGGCCACGTGGTGTGTGGGCGTTGATAGAGTGACGCGGATGGTGGAGAGAGGATGGGCGGACGGTTGGTAAGGAAGAGGAAAAGAAAAATCTGGTTGAGAATCTGATTGAGCGCAGACATGCTGAAAGGGAGAGCAGTACTTCATTGCGTTCATCATCTTGCTTGTTCTTATGAAGTCAACCAAATCAACGCCTTACCTGCCATCACCACTGGACGCACCTGGCAGTCAACGCGGTACTCGATGGTGTTCATCATCTGCATCTCCGACAGCACGGCAGCTTGACACTCAACACCTTGGCATTCGGCACAGTCAATGCCCTCTCTGGCAGGCAAAGCAGTACCTGGCAGTCAACGCGGTACTCGATGGTGTTCATCATCTGCATCTCCGACAGCACGGCGCGCCTCTCCTTGTCGATGCGCGACGGCAGGAACTTGGGCGCGAACGCGATCTCGTGCAGCGCCGCCAGCACCATCGGCAGCATCGGCTCCTGCGAGCCCTGGGGAGAGAGGGAAGAGGAGGAGGGGGAAGGGGAGGGAGGGGGCGGGAAGGGGGGGGTGGAGGGGGGACAGGCAAGGGAGCATCCACGGAGTGAGAGGAGACCGAATGCGATTTCGTGCAGCGCTGCCAGCACCATCGGCAGCATCGGCTCCTGCGAGCCCTGGGGAGAGGAGGGGAGTGGGGAAGAGGGAGGGAAAGAAGGAGGGAAGGGAAGGGGGGGAAGGGTAAGAGGGGAATTCTACATGAGGATAGTGCCAGCACCATCGGCAGCATCAGCTCCTGGGAGCCCTGGGGAGAGGAGAGGAGTGGGGAAGGTACGCGGGCGGGATGGGGGAGGAGAACGCTACATTATGACATGGCACAATATCGTGAAGCCTCGAGTGTGGTGTGGGGTGGTTGATCCACATCACCCCACCCCACCGCACCCCACCCCAACCCACTCCACAACACTCCACCCCAACCCACCCCACCCACCTGCATGGTGACGGGCGCGTGCACGTGAAACACGGTGTGGTGGAAATCGGTGTAGGCGTTGGAGCGCGCGCCCGTCTTTGAGGCGCCTCAACATCACCGCACTACACCGCACCACCCCATGCTGCACCCCACCACATTACACCACCGACCTGCACGGTGACGGGCGCGTGCACGTGAAACACGGTGTGGTGGAAGTCGGTGTAGGCGTTGGAGCGCGCGCCCGTGCCCAGCAGCTTCTCGCGCTTGCGCGACCCCAGGAAGGTGACGTGCTCGATCAGGTGCGCCAGGCCCTGCTCGTCCTCCCTCTCGTCCACCGACCCCACGTGCATCTCTAGGTGCGCCTCGAACCTGGATGGCGGCGGGAATGAGGGAAGGTGGGGAAGGAATGAGGGACAGGAAGGTGACGTGCTCGATGAGGTGCGCCAGGCCCTGCTCGTCCTCTCTTTCGTCCACCGACCCCACGTGCATCTCCAGGTGCGCCTCGAACCTGGCGTGCGGCATGGGAATGGGGGAAGGGGGGAAGGAATGACGGAAGGGATGAAAGGACGGTGACGTGTTCGATCAGGTGCGCCGGGCCAGGCCCTGCTCGATGACGGCAGTGGGGGGCATGGCGCATGGAAGGTGCGCGAACCGCCTCGCCCACCCGCCCACGTGCACCTCAAACCAGGTTTGCCCTCGCGCCTCGCGCGCGGAATGCGGGGACGGGCGTACTTGCGAGAGGGACAAACTGGAACCTAATGGATAGGAGGAACACGACGGTCCTGTTGTACCGAACCGCTTACCTGTTGGGCGGCAGTTTGTTGGGGAGGATGACGTATCGCAGCCCGTTATCGAGCATGCCGCGGTGCACCTTCGGGTGGCTCGGCAGCCGCTCGCCCAGCAGCGCTTCCACCTCCGCGCGCTCCGCGTCCGACATCGTCATCCGCTCCGCTTCCGCCTCCCCGCCCGTCGCTTCCCCCATTTCCCCCTCCGCGCCGGCGTCGTCTCCTAGGTATTGTCCCTTCTTCCCCTCCTCCTCCTTCATTCGCCCTATAATCTCCACGAGGTTCCCCAGCGCCGGCAGAATATCCGCCGGGATCGGCGGCGACGCGGACGTCACGGCTTGCGGCTCGGTGGGGCCCTGCGACGCCTGCGACTGCGACCGCGGCGACACAGCCAGGCGGCAGCGGCGGGAGAACCGCGCGCCGGCTGCGGAGGGTCCATCAGGGCTGCGGGGGAAATCGGCGCGCGAGTCGGCGGAAGGCGGAGTGGCGCGGGGAAGCGAGCGAGCGACGGGCGTGCGCAAGGTGCGGCCGAGAAATTCGGAAGAAGCGACAGCTTCGCGCTGCCGCTGCTGCTGCTGCTGCACACGAGTTCTTTGTCCGAGGTGACTATATTGAAGGGCGGAAGAGGACGAGGACGAGGAGGTAAGCCTGGTGCTGCTGCTGCTGCAGCGGCACGCGGCAGGGGTGTGAGAAAGCGTTAAGTGCGCGACGCCTGTTGAGGGACGAGTCGCTCGGGTGGGCCTCATCCGCAGGGAGTGCCTGGCTTGGCCTTGCCTGCTCACGGGAAGATTCGAGAGGTGCAAGAGGGCACAAAAAAGTACAAAGAAAAGGGGAAAAAAAAGAAAAAAAAAAGAAAAAAAAAGAAAAAAAAAAAAACCAGGGTGAAGGCAGTGGCGGAATTTTGAGAGGAAGTAGGGAGAGAACGTACTAAGAGGAGAAGCTGAAGCAAGGGAGAAGACAGAAGGTGGATTAAGTAGTAGGCTTTTGCGGTGAGAAACGGACCTCACACGTCTGACATACTTTTGAAACGAAAAAAAAAATCTAAATGATTAATCGAAAACCCCGAAGCTCAAACGATCGAAGTCGAGATTCCAGTCGCAACTGACGCATTACCATTGCTGTGCGACGCCTAGTCGTCTGACAGCCGTAGCCTTCGCGAGACTATTGGAGACATCGTAAACGGCGGAACACGGCCTGAACTTGGCGGAATTAGGTTGGCCTCGCTCGCGGCTGGCGACCAGAGACACGCCCTTCCGCTGCACGCATCCAGCTGGCACGCCGCCTACCTGGGCTAGGGAAACGGCTAAGGACATCGCGGGAAATCACTCTCTAAAAATCTCGAAAAGCCTGCCAGAATGTGCAACTCGAAGCTGATCGGTGCAGGCGCTCGACTCGTCCACACCCCCGCTCTTCGCCTAACGCCGTCCCTAGGAGTGGCGTGTTTGGAGGAGGCTGACTGTCGTGTCGAGCTGCGTCAGTTTGAGTGAACTAGGGTTTGTGGCTGCACTAGTCTAGTCTAGGCGAACTTGTGTAAGGCTTGCGGGCGTGGGGGGGAGGTGAAGGAAGGGTAGGGATTGGATTGGATGATGAAACTCATTGTGGGATGCAGGGAGTGCACTTTGGTGACAAACTACAGTACTCTCAAAAAACAAATCTTCCTGCTGTCATTGGTGCGGAACGGGGCGGACCGGATCTATTACGAATTACGTTCAGTACTGTGTAAGGCGCCACTCTTAGAACGCAATATCTCTACGTGTCAGACTTCGGGTTGTCCCGAAGTATGAAGACCACGATTTTGACAGAAATGTCTCAACGGAAATCGAGAGTTCTCTGACCCGAAGTAGAAGCTTCATGACCCGAAGTTAGGTCTCAACTGAAAATCGCGACTCTAGAATGCGCTTGAAGGCTGATGGTGTCTATCTGACACAGAACACTGACCGACATCAATGGTCTATTTCTGCTGCCGCGTGTCAAATCCAACCATAACCGAAAAGGGCGGGCTCGGTGTATTCTGACAGAACACGGGACGGAGTGTTTTCACTTTGGTGTATCTGGGCCCTGAAGGCGTGGGAGGCGGCGCCGCAGAGGTGGAAGGATCTGGTACTCAACCAACTGTCTGCGGAGGAATTTTTCAGGGGAACAAGGCTGGTCCGCTCTGCGTCTTACCGGCCAGGAGTGTTCTTTTACTACCAGCTGCAGTATGTGAGCAACGGCGAACTATATGGTCGAAGAGTGACGGTGGACAAGAAAGGGAACATAGGCGAGGTGGAATATGCTCGCGTGGGAACGGTGGATTTTCGGCGCGTTTCACCCATGGCAGTCATAGACGGGAGGGCCCGCGGCTTACTCGGCGCTCCAAGAACGCGACTGCTTTTTTCCACAATCTGTGAGAAAGGCGAGCGAGCTGATCTAAAGAAGCTGAGGAAGGCGATGAAACCCTCGGTGACGCAACCGAAACAGCAGCTCAAGTGGGAAGAGGAGCTGGGGAGGAAGATCGGCTGGGGGAAGGCCATCATGGTCCGTGACTCACTGGCAACCCCATGCAGGGCACGGGAAGTAATACTGAGGGTGCACAGTAACAACCTCCAGGTGGGAGAACGGCTCCCTTTCTTGGGCGCGAGGGCGAAATGCACGTACTGTGGTGGAGTGGAATCGCAGGATCACTGCCTCTTCAGCTGCCCGACGATCCAACCTGTGGTGGGGATGATGAGGAAAGCGGTTCAGTGTATGAATCCGGGCAGAGACATGCGATCTCTCGGTGACATGCTCTTCCAAAGGAGTGGCACGTCAACAGGCTTCCCTGAGGCGGCAATCATATCCATAACAGCGCATCAAGTTTGGCTGGAGAGGTGCAACGCGGTTTTCCGCGGTAGCCGTTTCCAACCAAAGAGAGCATTGAGGCGCATAGCGGTTGGCTTCACGAGGCACGTGAAGATCTACAGCAGAGCGCGGAAGAAAACGGCTGGCAGAAATGCCTCGGAAAGGACGGGTGACTGGAGCCACCTGAATGCTGACGAAGCAGGTGCTATGCGCAGGCTCTACGAGACAGAGGCCTCGATGACATGGAGAGCGGGTTTTAAGGCAATCTGGGAAGATGGCGGTGTAGCTTTCCAACCTCCGTAAAAGGATAAGGGGGGCTCTGGTTACCTGTGTACTTGTAGCCTCTACATGCCCTCCTAGCAACAGTTACGACCGCGGATGTATGTATGCTGGTAGTGTACTTATATCCACCAAAAAAAAAAAAAAAAAAATGAATCGAGGTTCGCTTGCGGAGCGACAAAAATTGTCGAGTGGGCCAATGAGAGAAGGTGATCAGCGGAATTTTCTCCAGGTCAACGTGGCAAGAGGGAACGTGACGTGGGCCCTTTCCTTTGACGCCATGTGGCAGTGATGCTGCACAAGTTCATGAATGGAAAGGCTGTGTTTGTGTATATGCTGGATACCTAAAAAACCCGAAGAAAATAAACTATAATCCAATCCAGGGCCTTTTATTGCTTTTAGGCACTCTAAGCAGGCCTTTTTAGATATCAGCCTTTTTACGCTGATTCAATGTAAAATCATGCCTTTCTTTTACACAAGGCTGAATACAAAGTTTTTCATTATGTACCTTGGCTGATTTTTCAGTGTTTTTTTTTTCCATTTTACTTAGCTGTATTTTCGGCCTTTTTGTACGAGTGTAGGCTGAGCACTCAGCCTTGTATAGGGTGTGCACACTAAAACCTATTTTACAGCCAGCCTGGCGAAGTGTATCACTAACACCGTCAATCACGGGCGGGAAATCGAAATATGCCCAACGCGGCACCGCACAGTCGGGTTGGTATAGCAAAGTTGTAATCAGTTGCAATTCATACCAATCAGGGTTGCGCAAGAGGCACATTTGGCAAGATTCCTTGCCAACGCATAGCTCGGAGACCGATGCGGCTCGCACAAAACCACATCCATCCCACCTTCCCTGCAAACAGGACCAGATGACGTGCATGCATGGACCACCATGGAGAGGTCCTTTTACAATGACCTCTTCCACGCTTCCTCACCCCCACCGTTCTAGACACTCCCTCTAACGCCTGCATCATGGTTCAGTCAGTCCCCTCCCCTCAAACTAGCGCCTAAACCCTTGTTTCTTGCGGGTTCTCTCCACGCATAGTTCGCTCGACTGCCTCAACGGCAGCCACAGCCGTGGCCGTAGAAGGGCCTGGCGATGATGACGACGCGTATCGTCGCCCTCTAGTCGACATGCGTATGGACCTATACTTTCTCATCCCATCCTTTGAAATGCCCCGTGGACCGCCAGCGCCACCGTCGCAACCAAGCACTAGTCACACTCATCAATTCACGGACTCCGATCCTTTGCCCGATGCCGCTACTGAACCTGTACCAGCTACTAATATTACGGAGGTACCTGGGGCGACCGTCGAACCTCCAAACCCTCTCGCGCCACCGACGAAGTCGCGTTTCCGCCAGTTTAAAATTGTGTGGGGAACTCCTCCAGCTCTCTCGGATGTTGAAGCTCCTGCAAGGGACGATTCTCCCATGCAATATAGCTCCGAACTTATTCCCGAGAACTTTGAGCTGAAATATGAGGAGGCTCATGATCGTTATAAGTCCCGCTGGTCTTCTGAGTACCCATGGCTCCTCCTTACTAAAACTCTTACTGCAGCATTTACACGGAGCATGCTGATTTGGCAAGCAGATGTGGACGGTGAGGACACGGAGCTACCGACGTGCAGACCCAAGCGTTCAAGAAGCATGCGGGGACTTTGAAGCATCCCTGGGCCTAGCAGAGGCAGGACGATCTACACCCCAAAGCACAGGACAAGGAGATGGTGCAGATGTCGGCTCTTCTAGACTCGCTGTACTTCATGAGCAAGTGCAACGAGCCCATGGATTCGAGGATTCGGCTTGTTTGCTACATGTCGAGCAAGAAGATGCCCGGTTTCCTGGAGCAATCGTACGGTACATATTTTGACACGTAAGTATCTTGCGTTTATGCTTTCATCTTTACAACCGTCATAGTATTGTGGCTGATACCACCGTTTCTTGTTTGTATCAGGTAGGGATTTGGGCAACTGGCACAAGCAACCGCCACGTGGCTTCAAACCTCGCAGCTGGAGCATATCCTACCGAGCCCCTTCATTGGGATCACACTGGATGAGAGCACCAACAGGTGTCGTGGCAAACACGTGATCGTGTTCGCCACTTTCATGCGCGACAATCTCCTCGTCAATGAATTCCTCGCTTTGTTGACTGTAGAGAAAGCTGGCGCTGCTTCCTTGCTGAGCTTGTTGCTCTCCCACCTCACAGCAGGCTGTTGATCTCCGCCGTATTTTGGGCATCAGCACAGAAGGCGCAATGGTCATGATTTGGCCCCATAGGGGACTGGTTGCACGACCTCAGATGCTGATCCTCAGCATCGTCTCGCTCCAACTTATCGCCGACAGGTGCGTTTGTAAACTTTGTATTTATCGCTCATTGTATCTTTACCGAATTTCCAACTGTCTGCGTTATATGTTGAACACGGAGGCAGTGGCTGCGAAAGCTGTGGCAAAAGCCATTCCCACCTTCGACATGGTCGACGACATGATCTGCTTCGTCGCCGAGCACGTGGGGCAGTCAGGGCCGTGGCATCAACGATTCTTGGAGCTGCATGAGGTTTTCACGGCTACCAATCTCGAAGTGCAAGAAATTCACAACATTCGCTGGCTGTCGAGGGGTGATGCAGTCGCGCGCTTCGTGGAAGTTCTTCCCGCCATCTCCGTCAATCTGTCCGAGTACAAAGACAAGGCTCTGTACATCACGGCCTTTGATATCAGGGTAAAACACCCTGATTACCCTGATTTCAGGGTAATGCTATCCCCAATACTTTGAAATTTCATGATGTTTGTACTGAAAGCCCTATTATTATAGGATAAATGATGCGTACCACCCTGAGATTTCAGTGTGTTCTACACCCTCCTGCCCTAATGCCTCAGGGTGTTTATTTTCGATACCCTGATACTGTCAAACTGTGTAAAGGGGATCCCGTGTCAGAACTATACTCTAGGCTGTAGTGGGGCACTCCTTATGGGGTACAGCCCTGTTAGGTTTTGCCTATACAACCCTTGTACTGTTCTCATTCTAGTCATTCTCATTTCCCTACTTTGTGACATGGTTTCAGAGCAGGTTCCCTAGTGGGAACGTTTTTTTTAGGGCCCACCACAGAATTTTTTTTTCCTGCCCTGCCCGAAGCGCGCCGCCGTGCCTGCCTGCCCCGTCGCGCGCCTCGCGCCTTCCTCACCTGCGCTCTTGCGCCTGCCCTGCCGTCGCGGCCCTGCCG